CATATTTCTATTTAAATTTTATTATAAATATTTATAATATTATGATATTATTTGGTTCTAATTTAAATAGTTTTTTATTTTTTTTGGTATAACCATCGGTATCCGATCTAATGATCAACTAATCGAGATCGAGTATTGGAGAGGCAAGGGCGACCCTCTCAACTCAATTTATTTCATTCGCAATTGTCAAGATTCAAACCCCTAATATTACTTGAGGGATCTGGTATCTCATCCAAATACAATACATACATATATTTAATATGTAATATATATATATATATATATACATATCATACAAAGTTCAAATACTCGACTCAAACCGAAAAATCAATCTATTAATTATTAAAAAAATAATTATTTAAATTCTATTTTATAACTTAACTTAAATTTATTTTTTCAATTAAATTAAGAGTTAAATAAAAAACTTTCAAGTCCAATTTCAGTCATCTATAGTTGTCGTTGTAACCTAGGGATGGACCTGAGACTCGAATTTGGTGGGATTCGATCTGTTTGAGTTGATTTTTTTTAAAATATTTTGGGTTGGATCATGTCGGGTTCATGTATAGGGTGAAAAATATCTGACTCAAATTGACCCGAAAAATAATATAATTTTATCTTATATATTTAGAGATAATTACAATAATATAGTTCTTTATATTATTATTTTATTGATTTAATTAATATTTTTTTTATAAATATATTTATTTTGAGTAGAATATAATTATTCTAAAATAGAATCTGAGTAGAATTCGAGTAATATATATATATATATATATATATTTTAACTCGACGGACACCTATACCACATCCTACAGAACGGCATTGCCTCTTTCATGTTCAACAAGGCTTGAGGTTTGAGGAAACTGAGTTAGTAGTTAATAAAGAAAAGGAAACACAGCTTCTCCCTCGACGCTGCACTTTATTCCATTCAAAATTTGATACTTCGCTTTTTTACTGATAACGAGGCTCCCTCTCTTTTGTTTAACAAAGAGAGGGAGAGAGAGAGGTGTTTGCTTTACTTGTTCTTATGAGCTCTCTCTAGACTTCCTTTTCCTTTTATGTTTGCCGCATTGTGTGTTTGTTCCACATCAACAATCTCTCCCTTCTTCTTCTTCTTCTTCTTCTCATCTCAACTTCATTGCATTAAAGTGCTGTCTTTGTCTCTCGCTTTCTTCTATAGTTCTTGGACCCTTCATATTTTCTGGGGTTTTAAGCTTCTTTCTTTGCTCTAACACACATGAAAGATGAAGCTAAGACAAACCCATTTATTGTTTTTGTTTCAACTATGTGTTTGTTCTTGAGCAAGTGAAAAATTCTGCTTTGGTTTTGGTGATTTGTATCAAAGTTGAGAGCTTTGAGGAAGAGTAAAAGAGTTGAATTTTGGAGTTGTATGAAACAAAAGCTTTAACAATGAGTGATGGGAAACCCAAGAAAAGCAAGGTTTGCTTTTGCTCTTTCTCTGTTTCTGGTTTTCGATACTCAAATTTGTGGAAAAAATAAATTTTTTTGGGGAGATTTTGGAACAGTGTTTTTTCTCTTCCTTCAATGGGGGTGTTCATTTGTTTTGGTGTAGCTCTCATGGTCCAATAATATGGTCAGAAAATGGTTCAATATCAAGAGCAAAACTGAGGACTTTCAAGCTGATGATCATGTTTGTGGAGGAGGAGGAGGTGAGTAATTTGAGTTTTACTTTCTTGGAATTTCACAATGATTGCTTAGTATTCATAAAATAGTTAATAAGATGGTCATTTGTGAGAAAAATGAAGAAAAGTGAATGGATTACTTGGCTATTTCAAGGCTTTACCTTTTCCTGGATTCTATTTATAAGTACTCAAGATTCTGATATTTTCTCTTGTCATGCAATTTTCTCATCAAACAAACAAGGCATCCTTGAAATATTCCTTTAGCAATTTCAATTTTTGTTCATAACTTGGATTTTTTATTTTCAATCTTCAGGAGGTGAAGTGGAATACAGGACCAGCTTCTCAGAAAGGGAGCCATGCATAATCAAAAAGAGTAAAACAGGTTCCTCATCTCATCTCACAAGTTTCTAAGAGAAAATTTTATTATGACTGCTTTTCTAAATGTTACAATGATGTGCAGAAAAATTTTGTCGGAGTACTGAGCAAAGCCGGCGAGGGAGAATGAATCTCGATCACCCTCGAATCATAGATGTCGAAAATTATAGGTATATTTTCTTTTCACTTTTATTCCTTTGTGATGATGCATCAGTACCAACAGCTCTTCTGTTTTCCATTGGAGCAGCATTTTTGTAGCAACATGGAATGTGGCTGGAAGATCCCCACCGAGTAATTTGAATCTAGAAGATTTGCTGCATGCCTCGTCTCCGGCGGATATATATGTCCTTGGGTATGTGTTCGGCGGTTTTGACCTTCATGTCTTGCTTACCAAACTTCGATTGTTCATAGAATGGTTTCCTTCCCATTTGTTTTCTTGAAGGTTTCAAGAGATAGTTCCTTTGAATGCCGTGAATATTTTGGGTGCAGAAGACAATGGTCCTGCCAAAAAATGGTTGTCTCTCATTCGAAAGACTCTAAACAATCTTCCCGGAACCAGCGGTGGTGGGGGTTGTTATACACCATCTCCTGTTCCTCAGCCCGTTGTTGAGGTGGATGCTGATTTTGAGGGGTCATCTAGGCAGAAGAATTCGTCTTTCTTTCATCGCCGGTCGTTTCAGGCAACAAGCAGCTGGAGGATCGACAACGATCCCTCGATTCCACAACCACGACTTGATAGGCGATTCAGTGTTTGTGATAGGGTAATATTTGGTCACAGGCCGAGTGACTACGAGTCCAGTTATAGATGGGGTAATAGGCCGAGTGACTATGACTCCAGCCATAGATGGGGTAATAGGCCGAGTGATTACTCCCGGCCTAGCGACTACTCCCGACCTAGCGATTACTCCAGATGGGGTTCATCGGACGATGATAATGGGATAACGGAATCACCAAGTACCGTATTGTACTCGCCAATGTCCTATGGTGGATCTGCATCCGAACAGGGATATAGGATGCCTGGGCATTCAAGGTACTGCTTAGTGGCTAGTAAGCAAATGGTTGGCATATTTATCACAATCTGGGTTAGGAGCGAGTTGAGAGACCATGTTAAAAACATGAAAGTATCTTGTGTTGGCAGAGGATTGATGGGTTATCTCGGAAATAAGGTATTACTCGACCGTAAAACAGTACTCTTAAAGAGTTCATTTTGCATATAATTGATTTGTCTTATGCTCAAGAACCAGAGGCACTCATGATTAACCGATGCGGTTTGGTTTGCCAGGGTTCTATATCTGTCAGTATGTTGCTGCATCAAACAAGCTTTTGCTTCATCTGCACTCATTTAACTTCGGGACAAAAGGAGGGCGATGAGCTAAGAAGGAACGCCGATGTCATGGAGATTCTTAAGAAGACAAGGTTTCCACGGGTTCATAATGAAGAAAATGAAAAGTCCCCTGAAACAATCCTCAAGCACGAGTAAGGACTTTAGTCTGCAAATTAGCTTCGAAACAAAGTTTAGAAATAAACTAATTACCATTTTAACATAGAATGAATTTGTTTGCATATACACCAACTATTTATATATTGATCCAGTCGAATAATTTGGCTTGGGGATTTGAATTATTTCATTGCTCTCTCTTACCGGTCTGCCAAGGCACTTGTTGAGATGCAGAACTGGAGAGCATTGCTAGAAAATGATCAGGTATGCTTTCACCTATACAAACTTCGTATCTTCGTTCGGAATAACATACAAAAGTTTAAAACCTTTCATTGGCAATATTTCGGCAGCTAAGGATAGAGCAGAAAAGAGGTCGTGTTTTTAAGGGATGGAATGAAGGGAAGATTTACTTCCCACCAACATACAAGTACTCAAGAAATTCAGACAGATATACCGGGGATGATATGCACCCAAAGGAGAAATGCCGAACTCCGGCTTGGTAAGAAAATGCCTCGTTCTGTAAGGCATGATAAAGTAGTTAAAATCATAGCTCCAAAGTGGAACAATAAAGAAAACCGGCTTAATAAAAGAAGTGTGCTGACTTAACTTTTTTATATGAAGGTGTGACCGGATATTGTGGTTTGGAGAAGGTATCCACCAATTATCCTATGTCCGTGGGGAATCTAAGTTCTCGGATCATAGACCAGTTTATGGTATGTTTTGGGCTGAAGTTGAGTCAAGCCGTGGCCGGTTGAAGAAGAGCACGAGTTACACTACTTCGAGGATTGAGGTAGAGGAGCTTCTGCCATATGCGCACGGATACACCGAACTAAATTTTTTCTAAAGGAGGCTACGACCCGCATTCAAGTATGCTTGCTCTCTCTTTCTCTCTGTGTATATTTGTGTGTGTGTGTGTGTGTGTACATTTTTACGACCCACATTCTTATTACTAAGTGATTGGTTTAAAGCAGGAGCTTAGTTTCTATGTGCTTCTACATATCAGCAATAATTTTGCATTCTGAATCAATTAGGTAAATACTTTTTGAGCTTATTTGTTTACTTTTCTTTTCTCAGTCTCGTGCATATCAAATTAGTCCGAAATAAAACGAACGAATTTCCTGCACTCGTAAACCTTTGTGATTGTGGTATTTGGACCTTAATCCTTTATTCTCACATCTTTTAAACATGGAAAAGACACTAACGTATCTTCCAAGAAAATGAACCATGGTCACTTAGCAATAAGATTGCAACCAGCTGTGAAAAAGAAAATTTACGTAGCCATAAAACGTCGGAAGTGTTCGATATTTTTGTTCTTTTTTCTCCACTGAATTTTTCTTGAGAAGAGCCATTCTTTTTCCATGTGCAGTCAAGAATCACTCTGAGGAGGTTCATTCATAAGGGTGACAGACATTCCGTTGCTCACTAACCAGAAAAGGTTGGTTCTTTCTTCTTTCCCTTTTTGACCTGCGTTTATTGGTTTCTTCGGCTAACCTTGTTTCCATGTTCGTTGATCATAGGTTGAATAACTCGAATCACGATAATTTGCGACATCAGCTTACAACATACCAATCTCAGTGCAACAGATAAACCACAAATCCACTCCCAAGGCATCTCAAAGCAAGCCCCAAACGATATCGATAAATCTTCACGACGAATAGGTTTACTTGTGTGATAATAATGTAGCTTTTTTAGGTTTTTGCAGGAAAGAAGTTTGCATTATCAAGAACTGCCGAACCGGGGGTACTTGCAGATTGTTTTGTTTGTGATTTGTTAGTTTTAGGGAATTCTTTTCGAAAAACCGAAGAAGATAAAAGGATGGTCAATACAATCATTGCAAGTTAACTTTTATTTTTGGGTTTAGGGTTTCTTGTGGATACTCATTACCAAAGCGCTAGAAGGAATGTAAAGAACAAAACCAAGTGGAAATAGAAATCAGAATGCTTTTGCTAATGATTTTACTGAGAAAAGTTGGTTTCATTGATGATGGAAACATCTGCACTGTCATTCCTTTTTCTCTTTTACTTTATTGCAGGCTTGGCAGACTTATATGGAAGCCATGACTGAAATTTCTTTCAAAAGAGTGCTCTTTATATGCATGCATGTATGCATGTATGCCTGCATGTAACATGCTGATGAGCAATATCATTAGTTTGTTCTTACTTATGTGTTGTAGAGAAAGTAAAAGAACATGAGTTTGGGGCTTCTACCTAAAAGGAAAAAGTGGGAATACTCCAATCACTTCTATATTGTAGGTCAATTTGTGTACACCATCATCGAAGTTTCCACATTTAAGCACCGGTTTAAGAAAATTGACAAGTTTCTGACTTATCGATCGTCGGTGCCGGTGCCGAGATACGAGTTGCTAAGAATCCTCCTGCAAAAGATTAGTATTTGAGATTAACAAAAGGGGAAGATGAGCAAAATGGTATGTAATTCCATTCCAAACATGGTCAAACAAGGCACCAAAAGGAGTGGGGGTATATAGATAAAGATTCTGTTTACTTCAAAGCTATCAAAGGGAGAAACCTCGTCAGTCATTAGTCGCTTTGTCTGGTACAATTCCAATTCCTACTGCAATGCTTTAGGACCATTTCATACATACATATATACATGCATGCATGCATATATACATACATATATTACGGTAAGAATCTGCAATTCTATGGCACTTTTCATCAGCATGAGGAACTAACATAATCAAACAGAACCAAAATGTTGTTATAATTATTACAGTGACAAACTCTCCTTTTCCCCTGTGAAGAATATGGTTGAAAAGAACATGCAGTTATATATATATATATATATATATATGACAATTCCGTTGGAACTATCTGATATGATCCTACTCAATATATTATATTATTTGATATATTTACAAAAATATTACTATATATCTAGGGATGGGCATGGGTCGGGTTTTTGGTCCACCCGACCCGAAATAATAATAAAATATTATTTTTATTCAATAAAAATAGTGATTTAATTGAAAAAAAATAATATATAGAGGGGTATTATTGTAATTATTCTTAAATATATAAGATAAAATTATATATTTTATGGGTCAGGTCGGGTCGGGTATTTTTCACCCTAAACCCGAACTCGACCCGAACATCACACTATAAAAGACCCGACCTGACCCGAATATGATTTTTAAAAAAAAATCTGACCCGACCCGTCGGATTCGGGTCGGGTCAGAACCCGTCAGGTTCGGGTCTCATGCCCATCCCTATATATATATTATTTAGAATTAATATTTCTCATTTCACTCTATTTCCCCCGTTTTTCTCTTCAAAATTACAGCTCTATGTTTTAAAATTACATCCCTTATATTTTTAGGATTTTATGTATGGTTCCCTTACTTTTAAGCTTGAGTTTATCATATTTTTCATTAACAAAAACAGAAATACTACCGAGTGATTTTAGTGGTTGAAAAGATGATTATCATCACTAAATGTTCCAAGTTCGAGCATCAGTGACTATAAGATATTTAAACGTTCATTGTCAAATAATTAAGAGTTTTTAAAACAGATACTACTACTACGTATAATTACTCTAAATTAATAATAAGAAAATAAAGATATATTTTCTTAACTAGTGCGATTATTACATTATACGTCAGAAGACGTTTGAACGATATAACATCTTCTTCCACGTTGTATATATGTTAATGTTATTAATGTTACATTTATGTTAAAAATCTAAGTGATTCGTGCATATTTCTAGAGTCGTCTTGTCATCCAAACATCTTCTGTTTAGGGATGGACATGGGTCAGATTTTCAGTTAACCCAACCTAATCCGAAAATATATATCTTTCCATCGAAACTCGACCTGAATTTAGTGGCAATTTCACCGAGATCTGAACTCGACTTGATTTTTTTTGAGATAAAATCCGAATCTGACTTGACCAACCCGAAATAAATATGTTTATAAAAAATGTTATTTTTCCAAAAAAATAAGGACTTAATTAAAAATAATATATAAGGATAACTATTGCAATTATCTCAAAATATAAAAGGTAAATTTATATTAATTTTAGGTCAGGTTAAGTATACTTCACCTTAAACCTGAATTTGATATGGCTCGGAATCAATTTTTTTTAAAGAAAATTGACCCAATAAGGTCGGGTTGAGTTAATACCCGTCAAATCCGGATCTCATGTTCATCGCTACTTCCTCTATACAAAATAACATTTATCGTAGATGAAAAATATAATTTCTCTAACACTCTATATAAAATAATTTTTTTCAGTATATTTTCTAATCAAATTTACCCTTTGAAAATAGTAAATAAATAAATTACGAATAATAATATTAACAGTAATATTAGAAAAGAACATGGGCCAGAATAATAATAACATAATCCACTTCAATAAATTGGGTCCAAAACTCAAATAGAAAAAGCAACTTTTAGATATTTTTGTTCGAGTACCAGTGACTGTAGTATGACGATCGGTCATTTTTAATTTTTGTCCGAAATTAAACTATTAGATATTTTTATCCTTTTTTTTATATCACATCTTTAGTTTTCTTTTGGTTTCATTTTTCAATAAAACTACCTTTATTACACATTTTTATTTACTTTTATAACATGTTTTTCTCTATATTTTGGTATGTTTTTGGTCGTTGTTTTTTATCTATCTTTTTTAAGGGTTGATTCGACATCACCACAACTAATCAAAATGACGCTTATCTGTTATCATGTTGAGTTCCCTTACTTTGGACTGTTAGATTGGATTTAGATACTTGATTTGCGTTGGTAGATAGTTTTTTCATGTCGTTTACTCTTATTTGTAATTTTTTCGGTGATCATTCAATAATTTAATACTATTTTACAATTCGTTTGTCGATGTGGTCATATATGTTGGTTTATATCATTGTTCGAGTTTTGATTAGGTTTTTTTTTAATTTTTCCCTATATGTTTCTTATGTGATCTTAAGCTACTAATTTTGCGTCAATAATTTTAATAAAATATCTTAATTATGTGTTTAATTTACTATTATGATTATAAATCTGTATTATAATTTGAGATATATTTTTTAATAAATTTAGTGTCTTCTATAAAATAAATATATTAATATAGATCACATAAATTCATAAAACAAAATATTTTAAATTTCATAATTTGTTATATATCTCAAAATCAAAATACAAATATGATTATATTTGGTTCATTTTCTCTACACCTCGTTACCATACACAGCAACGTCAACATGTGTACACCTGATGCTCTATAGGAATGGACCTAGAGACGGATAGAATAGTCTTTACTCCTAAAATTTTAAAATTATTATATATTTTAAATTTATTTTATATATTTTTATTAAAAATTTAATTTTATCTTTTAAAATTTTATAAATTCAAATTTAACGATTGAGATTTTAACTCCTAATACAAAGATCAACGTCAATGTCAACTCAATCTCAACTTAACCAACTCAACTCCAACTCACCCCAAGCCACCCACTTCCCCGTTTCAACAACTTTCAAACTCAACCGAGTTCACGGCGCCAGGACCACCATCTCTCAGCTGATAAAAGCATAATCACTTGACCACTTCCGGTTACAGAAACAACCAAGATTCCCTGCAAACAAAGGTTGTCGTAAAGCATGCCCGTACTGATACATGCATGACACGTCACAGGATAAAAGAAGATGGACTAGCTCTTCCATTTGATCCACACATGGACCAAGTCCAAACTTATGAAAGACAAACTTCAAATTGCGATTCAAACCTTCGTTAGCAAGGGGCTTCATGCTCACATGGAGATTAGAGAATTCAATGAAGGAAATTCATTACTCATTCCTACTACATCTACTTCGATCTCAACAACTCAAGTTGAAACAAGTTCAGGATCAATATATGACACAACTAGAGACAATCCTGAAAATATATTTAAAATCCCTTAAAGGATCAATTTCTAAATATTACAAAATTTCAATATTTTATTGATTATTTGTACTATAATTTAAATGTATCATCTTTTAGAATTAGATTGATTATTTTATTAGGAATTAAGATCAAGTTAAAACGTTATTCATAGTTTATTATTATTTTATTAGGAATCATGATAGACTCGAAACATTATCTTTTATTCATTAGTCATGTTACAACAAGGACTTCTCACCTATATAAAGGAGGTCCCTCCCACCATTGTAATAACATCTTTTCTTGAATATAATACAATGAAAGTTCGTTTTTGAAAGTGTTGATTGCATTGTGCCTTCAAAGTATCCTTCATCATTAAGTTCTTTCAAGTTCTTTGTGAGAGAGATCTTCATACTCCGGTTTGCCTTCTCATTGTGATTAGGAGGGCTGATTAAAGTCGATTATCGAGTTTGCCTAGTCAATTGTGGTAAGAGGGTTCGTAGATAACTATCTATCAATCATCATCATCAAATCACCATTCTCGCCCATCACCAATAAAACCCTAACTTGGCTAAGTTATTCCTATCATATTATTATTATTTTCCCTTCTCTTTATTATATCTTTAGTGTTTTAATCTTATTCTTCTTATGCAATTTCCAGTAAACCCTAAAAACTTTATTTGACACTATCCCTCCATCTCTTTCCCTTTTATTATTTGATCGAGTCTAAATCTTTCTAAGTTTGATTCTTCAACGACGAGCAACCGTTTTTTGCCCGGAGGGGGAAAGACCGAAACCTACGGGGTTTTCTATTTGAAAATCGTTTCGAAATGTGATGAGTCGCCACCAATCATTTAAGGTGAGATTGGAACACCATAAAAACCGGGTGATTTTAATAAAACATTTTATTTTAATAAAATACCGAGTTTTAGGGGTCTACAA